ATGACTTATGTGCCATGCTTTCCGAATGCAACTTGGTGGGCAATCCTAAAGAGTGGTGGATTGATTCTGGAGCCACTCGCCATGTTTGTGCTGTTAGAGAAGCTTTTGCTACTTATGCTCCTGTTGGACCCGATGAGACGATTTCTATGGGAAATGCTTCAAAGGCGAAGATTGAAGGATGTGGGAAGATATTTCTCAAAATGACTTCCGGCAAAGTGGTGACTTTGAACAACGTCCTTCATGTTCCCGAGATTAGGAAGAATTTAGTCTCTACTGGACTTCTTGTTAAGAATGGTTTTAAATGTGTTTTTGTTTCCGATAAGGTTGTAATAAGTAAGAATGAAATGTTTGTAGGAAAAGGTTACCTCACTGAGGGCCTTTTCAAGCTGAATGTAATGGTTGTTGAAAATAATAATAAAATTTCAGCTTCGTCTTACTTACTTGAGTCAAATGAATTATGGCATATACGTTTGGGTCATGTCAATTATAAAACCTTACGGAAAATGATTAATTTGGAAGTATTGCCCAAGTTTGAATGTGACAAATCAAAATGTCAAGTATGTGTGGAATCTAAGTATGTTAAACATCCTTATAAGTCGGTTGAAAGGAATTCAAATCCTTTAGACTTAATTCACACAGATATTTGTGACATGAAGTCAATACCATCTCGCAGTGGAAAAAAGTATTTCATAACTTTTATTGACGATAGTACTCGATATTGCTATGTTTACTTACTTAATAGTAAAGATGAAGCAATAGACGCATTCAAGCAATACAAAAATGAAGTTGAAACGCAACTTAATAAGAAAATCAAAATGATAAGAAGTGATAGGGGTGGTGAATATGAATCTCCTTTTGAACAAATATGTTTAGAATATGGAATTATTCATCAAACAACGGCCCCTTACACGCCCCAATCCAATGGGATTGCAGAAAGAAAGAATCGTTCATTAAAGGAGATGATGAACGCATTATTGATAAGTTCTGGTTTGCCACAGAACTTGTGGGGGGAAGCCATTCTTACGGCTAGCCGAATACTAAATCGAGTACCCCATAGCAAAACACAATCCATTCCATATGAAAAATGGAAAGGAAGGAAGCCCAACTTGAATTATTTTAAAGTGTGGGGGTGTTTGGCAAAAGTGCAAGTTCCTAAACCCAAAAGGGTAAAAATAGGACCGAAAACCGTTGATTGTGTTTTCATAGGATATGCAACTAATAGTAAAGCATATCGATTTCTGGTTCATAAATCAGAAAATCCCGACATTCATAATAATACGGTTATAGAATCAGATAATGCTGAGTTCTTTGAAAATATATATCCGTATAAAAAGGAATGTGAGTCGATTGGTGAAGGATCTAAACGACCTCGGGAAGAAACAAAAGAAAGTACACTTAACCAGGAGGATCCAAGACGTAGTAAACGTCAAAGAACGTCTACTTCATTTGGACCAGATTTTGTGACTTTCTTATTGGAAAATGAGCCTCAAACATTTAAAGAAGCTATGTCTTCTTCGGAATCATTGTTATGGAAAAAGGCAGTCAATAGTGAAATAGAATCCATATTGAACAGCCATACATGGGAATTGGTTGATCTTCCTCCTGGAAATAAACCGTTGGGTTCTAAATGGATCTTTAAGAGGAAAATGAAAGATGATGGCATATAGACAACGAGAAGGTCTTGACTATTTTGATACATACTCTCCAGTTACAAGAATTACATCCATACGAACGTTAGTAGTGTTAGCTGCAGTTTATGATCTTGAAATTCATCAAATAGATGTTAAGACGGCCTTCTTAAATGGAGAGTTGGAGGAAGAAATCTACATCGAACAACCTGAAGGGTTTGTGGTTTCAGGTAAAGAAAAGAAGGTCTGTAGACTTGTTAAGTCTCTTTACAGATTAAAACAAGCACCCAAACAATGGTATGCGAAATTTGACCAAACAATGTTGTCAAATGGATTTAAGATAAATGAATGTGATAAATGTGTGTACATTAAAAATGTTCCAAATCACATAGTCATTGTTTGCTTATATGTGGATGATATGCTCATAATGAGTAATGATATTGCCAACATAAATGCTACTAAGCGTATGCTAACTAGCAAGTTTGATATGAAAGACTTGGGAGTTGCTGATTTAATTCTGGGAATTAAGATCCATAAGACTTCTCAAGGTCTGGCATTGTCACAATCTCATTATATTAAGGCAATACTTGAAAAATTCAAGCACTTGGGCTTTAAAGTTGCAAAGACTCCAATTGACGTGAATCTTGCATTAGCAAAGAACAAAGGCCAAAGCATATCACAATTGGACTATGCTCGTGTGTTGGGTTGCTTAATGTACATCATGAATTGTACACGATCAGATATAGCTTGTGCTATAAGTAAATTGAGTTGATATACGAGCAATCCAGGTCAATCTCATTGGATGGCCATGAAACGAGTTTTGGGATATTTAGTACATACCCAGGACTTTGCTTTGCACTACAGTAAATATCTTGCGGTCATTGAGGGATACTGTGATGCAAATTGGATCACCGGATCAACTGATTCCAAATCCATAAGTGGATATGTATCCACTATTGGTGGAGGAGCGGTATCTTGGAAGTCGTCCAAACAAACTTGTATTGCCCGCTCTACAATGGAGGCTGAGTTCATAGCCTTGGATAAAGCCGGTGAAGAAGCTGAATGGCTCCGGAATTTCTTGGAAGATATTCTACTTTGGCCCAAACTGTTGGCACCAATATGCATACATTGCGATAGTCAAGCGGCAATTGGAAGGGCTGAGAGCGTTATGTATAACGGTAAATCTCGCCATATACGACGAAGACATAAAACCGTAGACAATTACTCTCTAGAGGAATTATCACGATTGACTATGTAAAGTCAAGTGAGAATGTGTCGAATCCACTTACAAAAGGCCTAACTAGAGAGGTAGTTGAGAAGTCACCAAGGGGAATGGGACTGTGGCCGAGAACAAGTCATAGTGGCGGTAACTCTACCTAGAAGACTGGAGATCCCAAGATCTAGGTTCAAGGAGATCACACAAAGTCATTAATGACAGTTCAACATTGTCAACTAAACTTTTGGTCCATTCTCGCGATGAGACAATGTTCAGTACCAAGGATAAAGCATTAAGGCTTTTTAATAATTTCTAAATTTGATACGGGGTATATCAAATAGTGTATCTACGGGATGACACATTTAGGAATAACCTATGTAAGTGTGAAGTGTTAGCCGCTTCAAGGACAACTTTGTAAGGCCAGTTCTCTACGTACTTATGAAACTAGGCGGTGTTCATGGCTGAAACGAACACAACAATGAGAACCAAAGACGGTTAAGGGTTGGTTGTGTGACTTGTGGTTGTCTAGGTATACACCAAAGTTCGACGGTTCAAAGATATCAAATCTACCGATTGATCGAGTATATCCGACATAAGTTCACTACGAAAAGTTCAAAGGGAAACCTACTTATCCAGATGCAATTAATCCTTGCTTGCGAATCACACAGTTTTTCATGCATACTTCTGTGATATAGCCATTCCCCATTCATGTGGGGGATTGTTGGGTTTTTTTTTTTTATGTATTTAATTAATATATTAAATACTTAAAAGATGGTGAATGGAAAATGGAGGAAAATAAAATTTTGAGTGAAATTTTAAGTTTTCCCCCTTGGCAAATGGACATGGTCCCATATTGGAAGAGGAAGAGGTTTTTTATGGGTATATAAGCAATTGCTCTTTTTCTAGCTCTTAAAGAGTTGAGAAGAAGGCAAGCCTCGCGCCGTCGTCGTCGCCGCTCGCTCGGCTCGGCTTCGGCTTCGGCTTCGGCTTCGGCTTCGGCTTCGGATTCGGATTGGTCAAATGATTGATTGATTAACTTTTTGGACCAAATTTATTTGTTAACCGATATGATGGAAGACCTTTGTGAGACCAATTTATTTTTTTATGAGTTAATCAAATGGAATCGCCAATCACATCATTTTTGAAAACTTATAGTTTTTTAACTTTTATTTTATAACTCAAATATAAATTTTAATTTAATATTATATAAATTTTAAAATTTTATATTTGTTGAAACGAGATGCACGCGCATATCTTAAGACCAGTAAGAATAAAAAGCTTAAAAGTAAAGAATATATAGGTGTAGAAAACATCATTTTTTCGTCAAGGGATGGGTTAAAAAAATAGCGCATGTAATTTTTGCCAAGTAATAAATATAGGCTTGAATAAATAATTTACTCCAATTTACTTTGTTTACTATTAGAGCTTCTAGACCAAACCAACTGAGAACAAAAGGCACGCAACATTTAACAATTTTTTTAACTGCTCTTCTTATTTTTTTCCACTTTTTTTTTCGGTAATTAGTCAATCTATATTACCAAGTAAATATGTAGAAGTATAACAGTATAACTAAGTTTGGACATGCAGCCCCAAACTCAGTATAATAGTATAGGATATGTTGGGACGAGGACCATTTACAAGTCTTTTTAAAGGATTTGAACTCAAGTTTTAATTTTTGAAATTTAAATTCCTTTGTGTTTCAAAATTGTGAACTATTTCGAGTGGATGTTATTGGATTTCGTTGGGGATCTTTTGAGAGGTCTTAATCTAAAATTTAAGAGAGTTTGGAAAAGATTTAAGGTGATTTCGGGTGAAATTTCATACTCGAGTGTAAAGTTTAATATGAACATTTCAAATTTATGTTTAAGATCTATAATAAATTTTAACGGTCTATACAAAATGAGTTTAACTTAATCTATACTGAACGACCTAAATTTGCTTATAATAAATTTTAAAATTAATCCCAAAATTAATTATTTATTATCCGTCGTACTAAATGAGCCTTGAGTGACGTCTTTATTTTTGGATTATTAGTCATATAATTCTACATAGCGTGAATCTTTTTTAGTAGACACATCTCAAGAAGCCTCTCGAAAGATATATATATGTCTTTTAATTTCCTGTAAGTTGCTGGAAGTTTCTTGCACAAAGAACTCTCTCAACAATTTCAGAACTTTCAAGATTCTTAAAACCCTACCCCTCTCTCTATATATATTGCACCATTAAACCCCATGACAGAACCAAACACAGAAGAAAAAGAAGAAAAGAAGAAGATCGTCAAAGTTTACAAGGATGAGGCTCAGCAAAAATATTCCATTTTTGATCTTTTCAGTTGGCTGCATATTGCAAATGGCGTCAATGTCAGAAGGATCATCAATTCTACCATTATTGTTAGACCAAATGGCCAATACTCCCAGTAGTCTACTAACTGAAACATTTCTTGATCCATTCAGAATGTTAGAACAAATACCTTTAGGGTTAGAAACCAGAGACGAGACTCTGTCCGTAGCTAAAGTAGACTGGAAAGAAACGCCAGAGGGACACGTGGTAACAGTAGACGTCCCAGGTTTAAAGAAAGAAGAGATAAAGATAGAGATGGAGGAAAATAGAGTGTTGAGAGTGAGTGGAGAGAGGAAGAAAGAAGAAGAGAAGAAAGATGATTATATTCATTGGCATTGTGTTGAAAGGAGCTATGGAAAATTCTGGAGGCAGTTTCGTTTACCAGAAAATGCTGATATTGATACTCTTAAAGCTAAGCTTGAAAATGGTGTGTTAACTATTTCTTTTGCTAAGTTATCTCCTGACAAGATTAAAGGTCCTAAAGTTGTCGCCATTGAGACCAAAGAAGAAGGAAAAAACTCTTCTCCTTCTGTTAAAGAGGAGCTCTAATGGCCCTTCCATTGCGGGATACTTTACGGTTTGTTTGGATGGTTGGTAACGTATCATTTCATAATGTATCGTATTATATTGTATTATATTTTACTGTACTGTATCGTTTGATGAATATAATGTTTGGATAGATTGTATCGTTTATCGTTGTTTCATGATATCATGCACTAGCAATATGAAGAATAAACTTGTAATATTATAAAGAAAAATTATGATACAGGAATAATTATTATATAAAAATATATGGTAAATGATAATATAAAATTATTTAATAATAATGAAGGGTGAAATGAGAAAAAAAGACAAGGTAACGTCGACGTGATCATACCAAATCGGTCTTTACATAAAGTGACACTTTTCGTCGTTACGTAATGACGGATTTAACGATACGATACGATAAAATTTAAGTAACAATCAAAACAAATATTGTATTTAAAGTAACAATACAATACGATATAATAGTTAACAACCATCCAAACAAGTTGTTATGCATCAAACTGTCTTTTTTGTAATGGTAATAACTTATGGGTTGTGATTTATAATATGATTGGTCTTTTGTATTTAGAAAGTAGTGAAAAGTGAGGAAAATAATGTAAATGTAGTCATAATTGAGAAGTATCATATTTGATCTGTTTCTTTTTCTTTCTTGGATTGATCTTCTTCTAATTGATAAGTTCTATTCATATTTTTTTCACGAATTACTTGTTTAACCAAAAAATAGAATTTCGGTTAAAACTAGAAATTAAGAGAAAAAATCGGGTTACTGATAATCAGGAGACAAAAAGAATAAGGAATTTTTGAGAATAATAAAGCAGTAAATAAGTTTGTATTTCAATGTAATCTCAATGATCTTTCGTGTCCTTACAAATGCTGAGATCTCCTCCTTTTATAGTTGATTTTTCTAGGAAAAGGTATAATGTCTCAGTCTTAAAGAGGCAATTATGAGCATTAAATGACATTAAATGAAACGTTACACAATCATTCCTATTCAATGCTGATTCGCTAACGTATTTGACATTTAATATTGAATTTAGACTCCTTTAACCTATCAGATTCATATCTTCAATTCCTTCCGACCTCCTGGCTTAAATTAAGTTAAATAGATACGAGACTCGTATCATTTGAATAACATCTCGTGTCTATTTAACTCTCTTCTTTTCGTATCTGATATCGCCCGTGCCCCTCAATTGATCATCATGTTTTGACCATTTGACCAGTTCACGTGTCATGCCACGTCACCTTCAATATAAATTTAGTTTTTTCCCAATACAGATAGTCCCCCCACTTTCTATTTATTTATCAATTAAATATTTGGGAAGTGGATCTTCATTAAAAAGGGAATTTTTGCCATAATCAATGGTATGACAGTGTCGACGCTTCAATTGTTCTTCTATTTAATGCACCATATACGTGTCACCTTCTCATTAGTTCTGCGATTTTGCAGCCTTTTTCTAAGGCTTTTTTAACTCCACTATTCACGAAGCGATGGTTGCCTTTATTATAGGCTTTCCATCATTACACTTCTTAATTATCGACGGTTGAGTTTATATATAAACTTGCCCCCTCTTTCCTTTGTCTTCTTCTTCACAAGCTTTTTACCAAATTTCTTGCTATTTACTTTACCAAATTTCTTGCTATTTACTCTTGTTCACTTCTTCTTCAGTTCATACCTTCTGTTTATATCTTCTCACTATGTCGTCTTCGGATCCTAACCCTAAAAGAGTCCCAATTCTTGATAGTTTCCCCAATGCTCCTGCTAGATATAGAAGAGGTAGAGGAGGTGTGCTTCGTGGTACAGGGTCGGTTCGTGGTGGTACCTCTGGTTCTATCATTCCTTCTTCTAGTTCTGGCAACATCTCTAGAGGCTCTCTTTCTAACAAATCTTCTTCTAAGGGCAAAGAACCTTCTGAGTCTAACCAAGAGCCTCTGGTTGAAGAAATTGTGCCAACGGATTTATCTTTCGAACATGACAAAGAATCCCTTCGTGACCAAGTGATTAAATTAGAGAGAGCTGATAAATATCCCTCTTTAATTACTGAACCTTTGATTCAAATTATTCGAAGAGATTGTCGTTGGAGAGGTGACACCCAAATAGTTATTCCTACTCCACATCAAAGAATATCTTCTTATAGGGTTGGCTTTTCTTTCGTTTACACTTATCCCTTTACTTTGGGATTTATTCCTGCTATTGACCCTGTCATTCTTGATTTCTTTCGTTTTTTCAAAATTTGTCTGGCTCAAGTTGGTCCCCTCGTATGGAGAGCAGTAGCTTGTTTGAGGTATATGTCAACCAAAGCTGATGTTGACTTTAGTTTTCCTCATCTATTTCATCTTTATCACCCCAAGCTATTCCGCAATGGTGTTTTTACCTTAACTGCAAGAAGTAAGAGGGTTTTGGTTAACCCTGAAGATAATAACGACCGTGGCTGGTACACCCGGTTTGTTGTTGTTCCCACAATTGATTTGGTGGGTGAATCAAACATTCCTTTTCCTGAGAAATGGAACTTTGCACGTAAGTATTTTCTTCCTTGCCGTATCTGCTTTCGTTATTCAACTTCTCTTCTAATTTTATTATTATTCCTTTGCTTTTTTGTAGCAACCATGGGAGATGTGGAACCCATTCCTAATTTCCGTGGTTGGGTAGATGATGTCTTGAAAGCCGTGCCTATGGAGGCACGAACTTGGAGATCTATTTCCAACAAACACGATTGGAAAGTGAAAACTCACGGTATACATCTCTTTTTGCTTCTCGTGTGTTAAATTTTTTTCCCCTCTTTTAACTTTTTATCCTTCTTATTGTCAGGATTTGCTATTCGAGGGATGTCGGCTGAAGTAGCTATCACCCTTCGAGCTTCTTCCAGTACTCCTCTTGCTTTGGAAAGAACGCAAGACACGCTGTCAAAGAGAAAAGTGGTTGAAGAGGATTCTGACGTTGATGAAGATGAAGATACCTCTTTGACAGCTCGTCCTAGAACCAGGAGGCGCATTGTTTCTGAGGATGAAACTGAAATCTCTCCCGCTCGTATCTCCGAACCCGTTACTATTACCTCCGATGAAGAAACCATTCCAAGGGACTCCCCTGAATCCACTCATCGCCTCTTTATTGAGGGCTTCGAAAGTGGTGAATTAGGTCCGGTTTTAGATGAAATTCCTCTTTCATCTTCCGTTCCTGTTCTTTCCGTTCCTCCTCCTCTAATTTCAAGTGTTTCCTTACCAACTTTGTATGTTCCTGCCTCTTTGTCATTTTCTGCTCCCTTACCTACCTCGACTCCTTCGACTACTACTATTTTCACCTCTTCTACCATTCCTCCTTCTATAGTTCCCCCTTCCTCTGCTCATTATGCAGAAGAGGGTTCTAGCAGCAGAAGCATGGCTATGAGGAGTGTAACACTTGAGGTTCCTGCTAATAGTAGTCTTTTAAGGAAGTCTGGCAGAGCAGATGTTTGGCTTGAACCCTTAATTGGGGATATTGAGAAAAAGAAGATGGACAGTCACAGTTGTCTAACTTTGATGAATGATATAGTTCACTGTACATTGAAGGTACTCTCCCTTTACNCCTATTTTTCATGTAGGCTTGCTTACCTTTCTCACTAAATAACTCAGTGAGATACCCTTGTTTCAATAGATGGTCAACTTCACTTTGTAAGAATCTACATTCTGAAGTCTTATGCCCGTGATCATTGTGAAATTCGCACCAATGATCTGGATTGCGCTTATTTGGATTTGACCGCATCTCTTTTGGCCACCGTACCTTATCTCCCATGCTCCTCAAAACAGCTACGAGCTCGGAGGTAGTGACGTTGAAATTATATCCACCAAATCTTGCCTTCAAACTTCCATCATCACTCGTGACCCGCGTGTGTTTCGATCATTCCCAAACCTTGATGAGGAGCCTGATTCCCTATTCCTAGGTCTGTGATCGTACCTTTGATTATCTTGTCTCGACCGTGAGTCCTTTCCCGCAGGTCCCATGTATGGCTCGTACCTGTTTTTACCGGATCTCTTTTCATTTTCAACACGCCTTGAGCTTACCTTTTCTTCTATTTTATGTCGTAAAATAATGTCTTCTTCAATCCTCATCTTTGTGCTGTATCTGTTGTAGACATCACTCCACGTTGTTGCTGGAAATTCTCGAAGGCTTTCTTTGAGTCGCCTCGTGGCTTCTGAACTCTTCTCATTTAAATTACTAGCAAAGGTTATGGCTGCCCAATTGTCAGGTACTCGTGGCAGCGTCATTCTTTCCCGTTGAAATCTATCTACGAACTCTCTAAGCAACTCTGAATCTCCTTGCTTGATTTTGAAGATATCTTCCATTCGCTTTTCAACTTTTTGAGCTCCCGAGTGTGCTTTGATAAATAAATCTGCAAGCTCAGCAAACGAATTTATAGAATTTTCAGGTAAAAGAGAATACCATGTTAGGGCTCCTTTAGTGAGTGTTTCACCGATTTTTTTGACCAAGACCGACTCGATTTCTTGCTTAGTCAAATCATTGCCCTTGACACCTGTTGTGAATGCAGTAACGTGATCTCGTGGGTCTGATGTACCATCATACTTTGGAATATCAGGCATCTTAAACTTCTTTGGAATTGGAAGGGGAGCAACTCTTGGCTTCCATGGTTGTTGGGAATATTTATCTGTATCCACACCCTTGATCACGGGCGGTACTCCAGGTATTTGTTCTATGCGTTCATTTTGCTCCTTGATCTGTTTCTGCAAGGTTAGTACTAGACTTTGTAAATCAGAATTAACTGGATTACCTGGGTCTCTCTCTTGTGTTTCACTAGGGGTTCCACCGCTGCCAGAATTAATCAACCCTGAACGAGGATTCTCCAAAGTGTTGTTGTTTGGACAGACGTGGGTGAAACAGCAGACAATTGGCGAACAAAAGCTTGGAAAGCGTTATTGACTTGAGAGGCAATAAGTTTTTGCAGAGCCTCATTCATGGTTTCAACGTTTTCGAATTGAGCCTGTCCATCTGTATAAGATCCATCAGGAGTGCCATCACGAGATCGTCGTAGGGAACCTCGTGGAGAACCTTGTGGAGAGCCTTGTGGGGAATCTCCCTGAAGTTGTTGGACTGTCTGAATTTCTGGGTTTCCTTGAA